ACGAGAGAAGCAGACCGAAAGAGATAGAGAGACAGGGAGAGTGATCCCAGTGATGTAATGTAAGGGAAGGCTAGTGTTGTCTAAGCAGAGATAAAGACTGTTCGTCTGGTCTGTGTTTCTCATCACCTCTGATGATGAATGTTTAATTAAAAGGTTTCAAAGAAGCATACTCTTGTTATAGGCTTGCTGGGTCTGAGGGAGCATGTATTCTTGACGGATATTTCTGGACAAGCGTACATTCGATAAAAGATTGGCGGAATACGATGTGTTAGTTGGGTTTTTTAAAATCAAAAGTGTTCATATGTTTGTGTGTATTTGTGTGTGTGTGTGTGTGTGTGTTTGTGTTTGTGTGCATGTTTGTGTGTGTGTGTGTGTGTGTGTGTGTGTGTGTGTGTGTGTAAGTGTGTGTGTGTGTGCGCGTGTGTATGTGTGTGTGTGTGTTGTAAGAGATAATCCCTGCATATCATGATGTGAATGTTGACTGTTAAAATAGAAATACATGTACAGTACATATTTCTTGGTGTTGTCTGCACTGGGGAAAATGTGAATGACTTAACGATAATAATCTCCTAACTGGCTGACTAGTTATCTCCAACTCTCCTACCCCGACCTCGTCACTTTTCAAATGCATCTAACGCAGCCCTTTGAACCCAAAGTGTTTTCATAGCCATATGTGGACTACATTCTTTTGTGTGTTAATTGATTTGTGATAAATCCTTTCATCTGTAATATAAAACAGCGCCTTAACACGAGTCACGATTCTTGAGCATTATATAATTTTCTGGTAGACCACCATTTCCACAATTCATATTTGCTCACTTCAGAGCACTTTGTAGTCTTGCTGTGGGTGGGTGGCGGTAGCTCTGTTGTGGTTTGCTCCTTCTTTCCTATCAAACATCTATCGTCCTTATCTCTCCTCCTTCTTTTTTGTGTTTGTTTCTCCCTTGTAACACCTCTAATCTTCGGCACTTTTATGACCTTAGTTTGTTGCAAATGCAGTAAAACACTTACTAAACTAAAGTAGTCTAGCCATGCTGTCAGAATCAATATTATTAAAGTTCTTGCTTACCTGTAGCTCTTCATGTACTTTTATGATTGTTTATAAATGTATGGTATTTTTGCTAGGTGCTGATGTGCTCAACCAGCTGGCAGGAATGAGAGAACAGTTGAGAAAGGAGCGGCAGAGAGTACAACACATGCTTGATGATCAAGAGGTAAGGAGGCTGATTGTTAATTGTTTTATAGGTTTGGATTTCTTTTTCTTTTTCTTTTTGCTAGACCACGTTAGGATGACCCTGCTGTTTGCTTCTACCTATACAATACCCTCTTACTTTTCCCTTCCAAGAAATCTGTTGCTGTTTCTGCCTCAGTCTGCACATATTATGCCATACTTAACAATACATGCCTTTATTTTTCACTGTGACTCGAATAGTTCTGTCTTTTTTTTCCACTTTTAATATCGAGCTGAAATTTACTGTGTTCTCTCTCACAGGATGATGTGGAAATCTATGACCCAAGACAAATTCAGAGACCACCACCCGCTCCTGTTATGTGAGTATAGTTATAATTGTAGTAAAATGCTTGTGTTCCTGTATTGTTCCTACTCTAGACAACCAGAACTCTGTTTGAAGTTGCAAATAGTTTACGTTTCCGATTCCATATATACACAGTGTATATTGTCAATGAAGCAGGCAGCTTTAAACTCATGCCTTTGTGCATATATAACACAAAATTAAATGTTGGTGATTCTACACCCTCATCGACACGGTTAGATTCTTCAGAAGATGGGCTTCGACCTTGCCTTGAAAGGGCAACCCGAAATATGAGGGATACAGTCATCATCCCAGCAGAAGGACATGAGATGCATGATGGACCCCCCCCCTCCCCAAAAGAAAAACAAAATCGGGAATACGGGAATCAAAACTCAGATCTTCTGCGTGCGATAGTGAAGCTCTTAACTGCTACACCTTAGGCGCCGTAGATTTTTGTGCACGGAGCAGAAAACCTAATAATTACAATACACTATCAATAAGCTTTATTGTAATGACGCCGTTTTTTAAAATGAATTTCAGGGGAAAAAAGTTTTCAAATTGTAGTCACAGTTATGTTTATTTGGTCTGTCTTAGATTTATCTAATTTGTTTTGGTTACAAGTCGTGCCTTTAAACACAATGTTTACTGTTTTTAGAATTCGCCTTTGTGGTTCTTAAAACTCCAGACACTGCTATTTCACAAAATCGTATTTTCGTGTTCAAGATTTGGGTCTATTAAATTTATATCAGCTTAATGTGACTAAAACAGAACTCTTCCACAGCTCTCTTTAAAGGGGTCTTTGAAAATCTTACAGATGTCACCATCGGAGCTACTGACCACGTTTTGTTTCATTTCTTTAAAAAAAGTTGTTGTTTTTAAAGAACAATTTATGTGCCCTCTCTTTGTATACAAGCTACTACATAGCTCCCTGTATTATAATATCAAAAGCGCATTAATATCAATGTCATCACCTGCATTTTTAGGGCGTATTTATTTGGATCTTAATTTAGAGAAGTGAACCGTCTGGTATCATAAATGTGTTTTTTTTAATGTAGGTGCTTTACAGCCCCGTCGACACAATTTAGATCATTTAAGAAAGTGTGTGTGTGTGTGGGGGGGGGGGGGG